ACATTTGGTTTTTTTTCAATGGTGGTTTGCTCTTCAAGAGGATGTTATTCTTACAGCTTTGAACGACCAATATGGCGGATTAGGCAATAATACATCGTGCCTCTTGTTTCATCGTGCCTCACTTGTATTGAATTGAAGTTAAACAAAGAAGTGAGTACAACTCCTTTCACTTCTTATTTCATGCGCAAAATTGTTCTACACGAATCGCAGAGTCCTTGTGGTACATGAGAATCGCTGATATTGATTTCTCTTACAGTTGGCATATTTGATCTGCTTGGAAAGCAGAAAGCAGTCATAAAATTTTTTTCAAACATATCAAGCACACAAATTTTCAACTTTCATCCTGAGATTTTGCTTGATTTTATTTGAATCCAACTTTATTAAATCAAACTATCACTTTTATAAAACTAAAACTGAATTTATATCGGATAACAATCCATTACCATACCTATGAATATCATTAATTACAAACAATTTAAATCAATGACATAATTATTTAAATTACAAGGAAATAATTCTTACATAATTCTTTCTTTTAAAGGAAAAAACAGTTTAAATTAATGACACTTGTCATACTTTTTGACAACTTAGATTTTTTATTTGATGATACAATCCTACAAAAAATTTTAACTGCTCTTCAAAGGACTATTCTCTCTTTTATGAGATTTATTTCTAACTGGTCCTCCAAACTTTTATTTGTCAATTATTTTAGTTATCTTATCTAACTTTTTTTTATGTCTTCATAAAAGTTTTTCAATCATTTTTTAATATTTTCATAATGTAGTTTTTTAATAAAATATAAATATTATTTTTTTTTAATAAAGTATAAATATTATTTTTCCAATGTTCGTATGAATATAGATATCGTGAAATATAAAAGTATATACTAAAAGCACAACAGTTAAACACAAGTTAAAACAGATAAAGGATCAAAAAAGATATGGATAACTTAAGATTATCACAATCTTTTCATAGAACCCTTTTTTACAAGTTTAAATAATATATCGCAATGGTAAAAAGCTCGTATAAAAAATAATAATAATAACTAAGTTACCGTTAAAACGGTTAAGACTATAATAAATTAATTTCGAGAAAAGAAAAAAGAAAAACTTTTCTTATTATCAAATTTTAAAAATTTCTTCTTTTATTTGAAACTTAAATGAGTTTAAGGACTTCAACATAAATTTATATATCTTTTGACAGTCATTCTTTTTTGGTCCATTCAGGTCATTTAGATAGATCCTTTCCATTCAGGTCCTCGATAAGATATACAAAATTCTGAGAGTTTATTATATTTCCGGGGCAATTTTTAGTTTTTGTTTCTACTTGATCTTATATTATTCTTTTCATTTAGATTTATTTCAAACTTATTGTTGAAGTTTGCTGGCAAAAGTTTGTAGTAGAATCTATACATAAAAATTAAATGCTGACAAATAAGGGTTGATAGATAAGGCTGATAGATAAGGGATAACAAATAACCCTCAGAGTTATTTGTTTCAAATATATCCATCATTTTCATATCTTTCATAAGAGGTTTTGCATGTTCTCGTTTATGTTTAAAGTATATGATACGGCAAGTGTGTTTTTGTAACCTATAAATTTTTTGAAGTTTTGTTGATTGAAACAGTGGATTAGCCCAAAGTATATTAATTTGAGACTTAACATATTGCAGTATGGTTGAACTCGATATATTACGCCAATAGCTTTATTATCAATATTTATTATCAATAATAGGTAATTTTAGACTGTAAATAACTTTTATAGGGAAGCCAGGATAATTTATCTCTGCAATAAATCGTAAGCCAGGATAATTTATCTCTGCAATAAATCGTAAGCCAGGATAATTTATCTCTGCAATAAATCGTAAGAGTTTTATACTTGTTTGGTTTTTAATTATTGTATCATTTAAATAAAGTTTGCGCAGCTTAAAAGTAATGTTTAATTCGTGTGTTTTTTTAAAGAATAGAGTATAACTTGTTTTCTCTTTATGGAGTATAACTTGCTTTCTCAATATTAATTGAGAGTTTGCTCTAAACCCACTATTTACTCTAATTCCATATTCATATTGGCATATAGATGCTTAATATCATTATTGGTAAGAAATAAATTTATATTGTTTGTATGCATTATTAAGTTCAGTTTCAATGATGCATTACGAAAGTCATTAACATAAATCAAGAATAGGAGCGGACCAAGGACTGATCTCTGCTCCGCATACATTTATTATTTTGGAATGTAAATTATGAGCATATTGCTTTCTATCTGTGAAAAACCTTTAATCTAGGAATAGGTTTCATTATTTATACTATAATGTTAAATTTTTTCTAAAAGAATCTAATGGTCAATTGCGCCGAATGCTTTAGATAGACCTATAAATACTCTTAAAGTAAATTTTTTGTTGTTAAAACATCAGTTAATTGGTTAACTATTTCAATAACTGCATGCTCAGTTCAGTGATTTTTCTGAAATCCAAATTGTTTTGGGTAGAATAAGTTGTTTTTAGTGAAATACTCCAATATTCTATTATTTCAAACTATTTTGATAATACAGAAAGTAATGATATAGGTCTATAGTTTGTAATGTCCGAATGATCGTTGCGTTTGCAATCTGGTATTATTTTAGATATTTTAAAAGCATCAGGGAAAAAATTTTAATGAGAGTTTCAGTATATGAAACAAAGGTTGATGCAATATTTTTATCTTTTCCAATTGTCATCAGTTATGGACCATATTTTTGTTACTATTAAATTTATATTTTGAAATAAAACAGTTTTTTCTTCCATAAAAAAAAAATTATCTGACTTTGATTATATACCCAGTAATTTCAAACATAAAAAATTTCAAACAAAAAAAATTCAAACAAAAAAAATTTCAAACAAAAAAATTTCAAACAAAAAAAATTTCAAACAAAAAAATTTCAAACAAAAAAATTTCAAACAAAAAAATTTCAAACAAAAAAAAGCATTAAAAGCTCTGCATAGCCAACCTTTCGTTATATCAAGAAATATTTCCTGACATACTTAAACTATCAAAAGTAGTTTTAAGTGATAAAAATAATGATCACTCTAACATTCTAAAATTAATATACTTATCTTTAATTTATTGTTTTTTTAATTATGTCAATATTATATGGGGTAGCACACAACCTGCAAAACTTAAATAAATACTCAGTGGACAAAAACATGCATGTAGAGTTATATACGGAAAAAAACAAAGCGAGCATACTATACCCTTAAAAAACAAAGCGAGCATACTATACCCTTAAAAAACAAAGCGAGCATACTATACCCTTAAAAAACAAAGCGAGCATACTATACCCTTAAAAAACAAAGCGAGCATACTATACCCTTAAAAAACAAAGCGAGCATACTATACCCTTAAAAAAACAAAGCGAGCATACTATACCCTTAAAGAACAAAGCGAGCATACTATACCCTTAAAGAGAAACATGAAAAGGTGGAGAGTTTATGAAATTAATATTATTAACACTTCGCTTTCATGTACAAATATATAAATAACCTCACTTGAACTGGTTTTATTTGTAACTTTGAAAAAAGTATAAATGAAAAGTATTTCCCTAAAAACAAATAAATCAAATTTCTTTAGTAATTGCCAAAGAAAATTAATAACTATACAGAGTATTCAATAGTATTGCGAGAAAATTCTAAAAAAGATAATATGTTAAAATCATAAAACTCATTTAAATTTCAGACAATAATAATTTCGATGAATTAAATGAAGTATTTCTAACGAATTTTACTTTTTATTTATTCTTAGTAAGAAGTAATTATACAAATATTTTTAAGGTATACCAACGAGCAATTGTTTTTGAAAATTACGTTCTAAATGTCTTTTAAACGTATTTTAAACGTCTTTTAAACGTTCTTTATGTAAGAATGTTTAGAAGACGTTTAAAAGACATATAAAGTACATTAAGAACGTAACTTTTAAAAACAAATGCCCGATGGGATAAATTAAATCTTTGAGTATTTAAATTTGAAACTGTATATCTTAGATCATTATAACATTTTAACGATATTTATTTGTATTATGGCGTTCTATGAAATGATTAAGGTGGTGTTGCATCACCCGTATCTTTTTTGAGTCTCAGTGTTTTTTCTAAAACAGTTTTATTGATACCACTAACGTGAAACTCTTATGTAACATATTTTATTTACAATCAATAAAAAAAAAAAAGCAACTTTTACTAAAACTAACAAACCTATATTTGAGAATATTTTGCTTTAAATTTACCAAGTTCAAGTTTATTAAGGTTACAAGGTACAACCTTCCCTACCGGGTAAGTTAAGCAACAAACAAACAAATGCATTTGCATATTATGGATAATGATTTTAACAAAACTACCGTTAACAGCGAGCGCGTTTTATAAATTTATATTACTTCACTTAAATTAATAACTATTATGTCTACTTACTATTACTAAACTTAATTTATAATATTTATAAAAATTTATTTATTTATTTATTTTAATGACTTATTTAAAGTTTAAACAAAATTATTTAAAAATAAATAAAAAATTAAATAGTATAAAATCAACATATATATATATATATATATATATATATATATATATATATATATATATATATATATATATATATATATATATATATATATATATATATATATATATATATATCAAAATATATAAAAAATGATTTTTTGCATTTATTTTGAAATTTGAAGTTTTTTGGCTCAAAATAAAAAAATAACAGTTCACTCGATTGCCACCAGGCAACCTTTTGTTGCTTATTGCGTTACCATTCTAATTGTCAGCCTTGTCGGTTAGATTTTTTGTTTTTGAAATGTTTTTCTTGGCCAACCTATCCCTATGCTCAAATAATAACGCTCTAGGCTTGGAATTAGCCCAGCAACTAACCCCTACTTCTACGCAATGGTTTATTTTTCCTCCAAACTCTCAAGCAGCAATTTATTGTAAATGCCATAATAGTTATTGATTATAAACTTATTTAATTTTAGTTGTAGAGCTGATTCAGTTGGTAGAGGTGGTGGTATGCAAATTATCTATTTGGGTAATGGCTGCCTGGATCAGAGTGTAATATCGCACGAAATTGGTCATGTTGTAGGTTTTTTACATGAACATAACCGACCTGATAGAGATAATTTTGTGACAATTGCAACAGAAAATATAAATTTAGGTTTACATTTAGGTTTAGATAAATAAAGTTTTTCCTTATTAAAAAATAACAGTGCAATAACGTGTTTAATTTTATTTCTTTAGAAAAAATCGATTTGTTTAAAAAATTCCCATTCGATAATGTGTATTATCTTGGACTTGAGTATGATTACTTCAGTATTATGCATTACCCAATGAAAGCATTTTCTATAAATCAAAAAGAAACAATTATTCCAAAACAAAGCCATATAAAAGTGTTGGGAAATGACAAACTTAGCAAGCTTGACATAAAGAAAGTCAACTTCTTATACAAATGCGGTAAGTGATTAACCATAGTTCAAACTTAATGATAATTTCAAAATATAAAATAAACCAAGTTACAGTATTATAGTTGAACTCTTCTTATTCGAACTCTATTACGTCGTTTTATTTTCTGTTAAAACCATTATGTTATTACGGTTACGTCGTTTCACAAAGGAAAATTAAGTTTATTCTTCCACTATTTGGTGACTTCTTTTGAAATTTTCGCTATACGCTCCTTTCTTCCTTTGATTTTTGGACCAAGGAAATGGTAGCGTCTGATAATTTGCTTTTTGAAAGGCATTCTGCACTTTTCTTCCTGTGAATATTCTTCCAAAGGGGCCATTCTTCTTTTATGGGAGTCTTCAAATTTTACCAGATTATTGGTTCAGACATCCTTGTTCTTCTCAATGCTACTATCGCTAAGCTTGTACGACGCCATGTGTTGCTTCTGTAATAACTATAAAATTAGATGAGCAGCTATATATAGCCTAAAATGTTCTAGAATATTTCAGAATGTTCTAGAATGTTCTAAAATGTTTTAAATTGTTCTAGAATGTTTTAAATTGTTTTAGAATGTTCTAAAGTCTTTTAAAATATTATGTTATTTTCCAAAATGTTCTAAAGTTTTAAACCACTTCTAATCTATACAAGTTTTAAATGATTTGCAGGAAAGCCACACGTATAAGTAGTAACAGTAACAAGGTTAAATAAACGACGAAACGTAATTTGAATTGCGGGGTGGCCTTTTTTTACAACCGAGAGGAATTGAAAATGTCTTCAATGTTTTCTAATAAAAGTTATCAATTTAAGCAGCCGTAGCGCACTTGCCTCAGAAACGTAAGATCCGTGGTTCAAACCCCACATCTGAGCAAGTTTTGTGACATCGGTTGGGTAGGAGGCGTGAATTTCCTATTAAATGCTCTTTCGCGGTGCTCTGTGATAAGACTGTAAGGACTTCTTAGGGCACCTAAATCAACCTTAAAAAAAAATTTATGACACAGGAAATTAAAAAAAAAAAAAGTCACTAAGTCATACCCCTAATGTATATATGGCTTTTAATGTTAATTTTTGAGGTTTTTAATTCAATATAAACTATTGCTAGAATTTGTAAATAGGAAAGTTTAATTCAGCGATGAATGTCATTAATTAATTGCTGTGTTTCTTCCAAGAAAACTACGCAATGTAAATGAAATATATAATACTTCATATTTTATATACAAATCATTATCAACATTTTTATAGTTTACAAAACTACATAATTAAAAAGTTTGATGTTAAGTTTCGTTTTAACACTAGAACTATGGAAATATTCTTAGTGTTCATCATTATAATAAAGAACACTAAATAGATCTCCGTGTTGACAGTCATCAGATTCTCTATATTGTCCAATAAACTTCAAACATAGGCAGGATTTCCCGAAAATAGTTATGTTGACAAATTTCGGCCATATACACAGTTGTGTAGGAAGGGCATATGCCCCGTAAACCAGGTTCGGTGCGGAATCTAGTATACATCAACCTTCTTAGGGCCAAAGGGAAAGAGAATTCCTAATTTTTGGCATACGTACTCTAGCCCTAGTTAATCTTATACAACTTGTATAAAAATTTTTTCTGGCGGTAGGAATCAAAAACTCGACCAAAAGTTTGGCGGCCGGCACTTTTTGGGAAAAAAAAGTTTCTGAAGGTGACCTCCAAATCCTCTTGTCTTCAAAATAACCTCTGACAGCAGACACCATTAGTTATTCTTAATTGGCGGCGGCTTCCACACATTCTGCTATCAAAAAATTTGGGTGGCAGTCGCCAATTGTGAGGCGGAAGCGGTTAATAAAATCTTTTTAAATAAATAAGTATTTTTTTAACGTTTTGAATTTAATCTTAATTTAATCTTTTAGTCTTTTTTTTAAGTAAATTTCTTTTACTTCTACATGTTTGTTCTCGATTGCTCCACTCCATTCAGTGGTATACACTGGACTTTTAAATGTTTGAGTTTTGACACTTACAAGTATTGTGCAAACTTCAAACTTTTGTATGTTCATGCTATTGTCAAATGAGAATGTTTTGCAAAGAGTTGCAGTGATAAGAGCTTGGGGGCTGTAAACTTTGTAGGATGAATGATGAATATAAACTTATATAAAAATAATAAAAAAATTATTTTATCAACTTGTTGCTCCGACGTTAAGGGCTGGGTGGGCCCAAAAATTAGGGTTTTTTTTGTCCCCAAGCTCCAATCACCACAACTTTTTGCAAAACATTCTCATTTGACATAAGTATGAACATACAAAAGTTTGGAGTTTGCAAAATGCGTGTAAGTGTCAAAACTCAAACATCTAAAAATCCAGTGTACAATGTGTAATATCTGCCATTAGATATTAGCAAAAAATACTTTTTCTTAAATGCAGCTTAATGATTTGAATACGGTATGTTAAAACATCAAAATCTTCTGAAACAAATGATATCTAACCTGAATATTTCTTTTTTGCTCTTTTTCACATATTGAGTTTTAAAATTACCTAACACAAGCAGCCGAGGCACAGTGGTTAATACGCTTACTTTAGAAGCAATAGACCCATGGTTTAAAATGAGTCCTTGGCATATTCACCTTCGAAAATCTTATTCTTGGGGAGGTGTGCCACCCCACACCCTTTCTCTCTCACCAATAAAATTGCCTCTGAGTGGGACAAAAGAGTGACTAAAATTATTTAATTAATATCTGCACAAAGTCATTATTATTTTAAAAAGTTCATATAGTAAAGTGTGAAATTTTGATCATTAGTTTCAGAGAAATTTAACTTTTTAGCATAGGCGCTCATAAGAAATATTTTACGGGAGATAGGGGCGATAAAGTATTACGGGAGATAGGGGCTTTGTTCCAACGATAAAATATTACTTAAAACTAGACACTATTGAAAATTAATCTAAAACAATATAAAGTTAAAAATAATTATATTTAAAATAAAAAAAACAGGTTCTCAAAATTATTAAAGAGTAAAGGAGTCATTTGCTTACCCTATCCTTTTCATTGTCTCTCTGGTCTCTCCCCACCCCCTTATATCTAAAGTTCTTTAAAAGATCAAGTAAGTAATTTTTAAGAAAAAAATCACACCATGTAAGTATTTTTTTATGAATATTTTTAAACATGTTTTGTTTTCATCCCCATCTAAACTTCTTGTTGGTCATTATTTCGTTCAAATGATAATTAAAGATAATTGGATGATAACTTAGATAATAAAATGAAATTTAAAACTTGTGAATAATTTAGAATTTAGTAGAAGAATTTAGTAGAAGAATTTAGTACTTTATTAAATTAAAGTATTTTATTATTTCATTGCATTTTGGCTAACTGCGGTAATCTGTTGGAGTATTCATGTCCCCAAGCACCAATCACCTTATTTTTTTGCAAAATTATTAATATTCAATCATTTTTTTTTATTAACCTATTTAATATGTAATTTAATAAAAAATAAATAATTGATTTACTTAATAAACTAGTGAATTAATGATTACTCTTCAACTTTGTCGTTTTGTCAAATTGATGTACTTAACACAATAATTTTTAATAATAATTTCTCGAAAATCATCTCACAATAATTTTCTCATAAAATCTCACAATAATTTTTAATAATAATTTCTCGAAAATCATCTCAAGTATAAATAAAAATAATTTCTCGAAAATCATCGCAAGTATAAATAAAAATAATTTCTCGAAAATCATCGCAAGTATAAATAAAAATAATTTCTCGAAAATCATCGCAAGTATAAATAAAAATAATTTCTCGAAAATCATCGCAAGTATAAATAAAAATAATTTCTCGAAAATCATCGCAAGTATAAATAAAAATAATTTCTCGAAAATCATCGCAAGTATAAATAAAAATAATTTCTCGAAAATCATCGCAAGTATAAATAAAAATAATTTCTCGAAAATCATCGCAAGTATAAATAAAAATAATTTCTCGAAAATCATCGCAAGTATAAATAAAAATAATTTCTCGAAAATCATCGCAAGTATAAATAAAAATAATTTCTCGAAAATCATCGCAAGTATAAATAAAAATAATTTCTCGAAAATCATCGCAAGTATAAATAAAAATAATTTCTCGAAAATCATCGCAAGTATAAATAAAAATAATTTCTCGAAAATCATCGCAAGTATAAATAAAAATAATTTCTCGAAAATCATCGCAAGTATAAATAAAAATAGTATAAACAATATAAGTAAAGTATTATAAAAACAAGTATTTTTATTTAAAAAAATTGACATTTTAAATCCATTTGAAAATTATGTCTACTAATTCAAACATTAAAACAAATCATGTGACTTAATATACAGGGCCTTCGAGAGCGTTATTCGAAATTGGAGAACGGCGCTATATAAAAGAAATTACAAAATTTAAAGTTTAGTGAACGCAAAAATTACTTATTTTTGATACAGCATATTGTGTTTCTGCTTTACCATTAATTTTCTGCATTGAGAGACGGTTCATTAATCAGAAGTAACATGAACCAAAACATTAGTTTTAAAACCAATATACAAAAATCAATCAACAAAATCTTTAAGAAAGGTTAAAAAAGCGCTTAAAAATGATTTTTTTGCACATTTCTGCTTACCTTTTTAGCCAAATCTCTTTCAATTAAAATAATCAAATATCAGTTATGCGATCCTGGCCCATGGTCGAATGGAGAAAAAACCGGGCGTATTAAATATTTTATGTGCATATTTTGACTAAATATTAAAAAAAAATTTTAAATATTATTATTAATTTAAAAAAAATTTATTTTATTTCGAAGGCCCTGAAAATAAAAAAATTTGTTTTCAAAAAGTAAGGGGCAAAGGGGGCAAATTGAAAAGGCGCTAACAATCTATTAGTTTTTTTATATTTTATAATAAATAGATTATATTTATTATAAATAGATTAAATAGAATTTTATATTTATATTAAATAGATAAAAATTTCTTTAGGTTGATATTGTCTAAAAGAAATGTTTTGAAGTAACGTTTCATGTGACGTACATCAT